AGTGATTGGTTCACAACTAATAACACTTACAACAATCATTTCTTTGCACTAACATGCCCATATATGCAGGCAAGTTCCCATATCACCTTTCTGAGTGATGATATTCCCAGGTAAACAATTAGGTGCGAAATGCCTAGGGCCTATGGTGTATATGGGTGACTAACCCATTTTGATGGCCTAACATTTACTAATACCCAGCCTTCATTGGTTAGCAAATTAGCAAAACAGTCATTATTGGTTACATGTGTCTCAGCCATTATTTTCCCTATTAGTTCGGGGTTTCCGAACCATCACATCTATCATCTCCCATTCATAGAATATTTACACCTGAATTTCCCATCAGGAAAACTGTATTTTCCTCAATGTTTTCTACTTGTTTTCCCCATAATACAGGATTGGACTTGTCTGACTTGTCAAATTATGTGGTAAACACCCAGCCCATATAATGCTATTTACTTTCCTCATGGTGGTTGGTTCAATCCCCCACCCTATATCCGAATTATATCATATCAATATACGATAATACACACACACATATATATACACACATACACATGTGTATAAATAAATAAATATATATATATATATCCCAATATCTCAATCTTGTTTCTCAATTTCCCAGTAGATAGCCATTTTTTTGGATACCTGAAAAAACATGACTTTTTCTAAACATCCAGTGGCCTCACGAAGGCAACAGGTCCGGGGGGAGGAGTTCGACACCAGCCCTTCTCGGGCCTCGAGACGCGTTGTATACGCATATGGTACATGTTGTATCCAGTAATTGTATATATATAGATAATACAATATGATATAATATGATATAACATGATATAACATGATATAATATGATATAATATGATATAGCATGATATAACATGATATAACATGATAGAACATGATATAACATGATATAATATGATATAATATAAAATATAATATGATCATATGATCATATGATGATGTATATGTATCCTGCGTATCTAGGTGCTAACAAAACATTATCATATGGTTGCCTGCAGCCAGAAACGTTGAGACTGCCTCTGAGTCCTCACTACCTGGGCTTAAACCACCTATAGGGGTGGATTGACATAGACGGACCCTACAATATCCTACAATCATATCTGGACCTACCAGAACTCTTATGTTCGCTGCGAAAACCTGATGAAGACTGAAAAACTAAGATGCCAACACACCAGGATAGGACAGAACTGGAGGCGCCTCAGTGTGGGAATCCGCCCTGGATATCCCTGGGTGAGATCAGGAACTAAGACTGGCACAGGTCCCATAGGACTGCCCGTTCGAATCCTAGGTGCCATAGAGGCTCCAGCCGCTTTGGATGTCACAGAAAAGATGATTTCAGGAGTTGTTCCTATGGCGTTTCCAAACATGGGTGCCCTGGGTGCCCCCCTCCGCAGTCACACAAGAAGAGGATATAAAAGGATACAACAGGTCCACTTTGAAAGGAATCAAATCTGGTTTGTGATTTCTGAGCTGCCAACACGCGAACAGCCACACGTCGCGGCGTCACCGCACGGGTTCCGGCTCCCGGGAAGTGCAGTGCACCTTCGGTTCAACCATTGACCTTTGGGGAAACCGGTTCAACATGGCTCAACCAACAAAAAGCACTCACTCGTCACCATGACGTAAACCCTGGCCCAAGGAAATTATTTATCTTCATCCTGGAACAAAAAAGTAGTTTAGTAAATCGTTGATCGGAGGGTATCACTGATGGCCGGGCCAACCCTTGCAGCTTTAATTCACTAGCCATTCGTGTGTTTCCCCTTGAACCCATGGATGAAACCACCAGATTCAAACAATGATAACCGTTGGTCCCTGTGAGACCGGTGGTATATGTGAAACATATATATATATATATAAATAATATATATATATACACGTATATATACACGCACATAAAGACTCAGTGTATCTACATATATATATATAAGCATTGTTGTACAATCTGTACTAAATGCATCTAAATGCCTACCGAAATCCAGGGGTTTTACCGTGGGCATGGACGCAACTTCCCAGGGCTTCTGCGTCGTTTTTCAGTAACGTGCTTCCTACTGGATGTACTGTAAGTGGTCTGGTCTATCAACTATCTTATTAGTTCATTGAATTGAACCCCATCACAGAACGCCAACCCATGAGTAGCCAATGAACATTACTCACTGGGGTGGTGAACACCAGGGTCTGACCCATGACCTGCCGAAGGACCACTTGGCACCTCGGTCTACAAAGCTCTGGCCAAAAACACAGAAAAAAAACCAGAAAAAACCATGAAAATCTGATGAAATCTGATGAAATCTAGGTGTTTTTCTGGATCCTCCAAGATTCTTCAATGCCAGCGCATCACCAAGATTCATCCCATCCACAAGAAATAAATGAACCGTTAAACATACCCCTATCCTATCCCATCTCATGAAACCCTAGTTGGTTGAAAACGGTTTCCCATATGAGTTAGTTCACCCAAGAAGCAGGTAGTATAAGTCCCTCTTTCAAAACTTTAAACCAGCATTTTTCGGTTGTATCATGTCATATCTCCATGTTTCATGGTTAAAACCCACACATCACCAATTGTTCATGGTTAAATCCAATGAAAAATTGCAATTCTTCTTGGTTAATTTCTTTAAATCACGATGTTCATGGTTAAATGCCATTGTCAATGGATTGGTTTAAGGGGAAATCTACAGGAAACCATCAATTTTCCCATTAAATACGGGGCTTTCCTGTAATTTTTCCCTTAAACCAATCTATTGAACCACGCATTGACGTTGGGTTATTTTCAACGTCCAACCCCCTGGGCTCCCCGACATGTTGAGCTGCAGCCGGAGCTGGTGGTTGAACCTGGAATCGCGGCACTGCCATCCTACAGAGTAGTATATGACTATGTATTGACATGTATATATATATATATATATTTTAACATGTATAATATTGATATATATATATATATACTATATATCCATATATATGTATATATATATGTGTATGTGTATATATATATATGTATGTTTCATGCGGATGCAGCCGCAACTTCCTAATGAACACATAGTCATAACTCGGCATAAGCTGATTTTCGACCATTCCAGAGAGGTCACCGTGAGGTCAATAATTTACCCAAATCTCCGAGCACATTCCCAACATTTCCCAACTAATTATAATTCCATGTTATTCCCATCAAATCCCCCATGAGATTCATATTCCCATTTTCTCATTCTATTCCAAGATTTCCAAGGAACTTGAGGAGCTCCAGACTCCACTTCGTGACCTGGCTTGCGAAGTTTTTCGACGACTCCAGGTGCCGCTGCTGAAAGGCCCGTGGTTCGTTTTTGTTTTTTTCGGTTCGGCACCGTCCAACCCTGGTTGGTGGTTGAGCCGTGAAAAATGTCCTGGCTATGTCTGGAAATGGGTACCGGATGGTACCGGTATACCCAACAATTGCTCTTTAAGAGGAGAAACATTGTGATAAAGCAGAGGATCATAATAAGGGTCCCTGTTATCAAACAGACCCGTATGATTCCAGATCATTCTCTTGGAAAACAAAGGGAAAAACAGATTGAAACCACCAACCAGTCTTCTTTGCAAGAATGTGTCTGCAACAGGGTACATTACGCTCAGTACGCATCGTGCAGATATTTCCAAAAGGATACAGAGGTCCTGGCCGTTCAGACACACTCCTGTGACCGCATGTCGTTCATTCTGAATCAACAATGCAAAATACACCGGATGCGAGCAACTTCGGCCTTGCCATTTAAGCACACCATTAACGTGGAAGGGTGAATGAGACAAACCCATCTGTCAAACAGTCTCTCTATGGCCGTGGATGTCCAAATAGCTGGTAATTGGATGTCCATCCCTTCAAATATATCCAAATATCAAATAATATGGGATGGTATTGTATGACTCATCCCAATCTTGCAAATGTGTTCGTAAGACATATTTCTCTGACGTGTTTGCCAGAGCCTTCCACTTTCTACTGCAACGCTCTTGCAGCTGGCTGAATTGTGCACCACTTTGGTGGTGCTTAATTCGTTGAATTGGTGGCGTATCGGTCTGAACAATTGAGGAACAAGGATCAAGGCATATTCATAGCCTGTCTAGCATCTTAGCACTTAACTTGGACACAAGGTGAATGTAGTTTCCGCATCCATAGAAATTGCTACAACCCCAAAAATGAGCTTCCAGTTGGCTGGTTTATACCAACCATTTCTGGCAGAATTTGGAATGGCTTGATGTTGGATATATCGCAACATCTACGAATGAACTATGCAACATTCAGTTCAATGCAACAGGATCATATGTCATATTTGTATATATTTGATTATATGTGCATATTAATCTTGCAGATTTCAGGAAACATGTGGATAAGATCACCAGGATTCACACCAGGTACGCGAGATCATCCGAACCCTTAACCATATTGTGGATTATTATAGTATATGTGACTGTATCAAACAATTGCAACTCGTAAGCAGGACTTGTGGAAACATAAGCACAAAACTTGACATTTACCGATTCAGTTTGCAATCCATCATTACTAGAATTCCACTCTATGAAGTCATTTTGTCTTGCCTGCATCGGACCACAATGTTTGCTGAGGTGTAATCGAGTGAGGGATTGGGATGTTACTTTCCTCGATCTTAAAACGCTTGGTTTACTTACCAATCATTAGAAGCACGTCAAGAAACAGGCACCAACACGCTCCAACATGTGGGTCAGAACCCGCCCATACATTAAAACATGTGGGCTTTGTCCATTTACCCGAGTCTTCTTTTGGTGTCCACCAGGGTAGGCTTTTGACCGTGTTTCCCAACGGAATCTTCTCGTTCACGGGCACCCATGATCCAAGTCATGAAAAAACATTTTAGTAGTGAAATCCAGGGTGATGACTGGGGATCCCCCATGACTTAAGAGATCCCCAGCATGGTCGAGCATGGTCAACCGATTGTTTCCACCATGTTTTTGAGCGCCACTGTCTTCGCGTCTTCGCTCACCTAGGGACTCTCTTCACCTGACCAGCTGATCATCTCAGGATTTGTTTAAGGCGTTTTTTCTCGTGAAGGACCCTTTCTTGGAGTCAAGAACTACTCGAAACCACTTCATTTGAGAGGTGTTTGGCGCTGAGAGTCAGAGATGGTACATGCCATCATGAACTGCTTCTGTGTTCAATGTCAAATACGACATGTAACCATCATGTATGGATGTATCTGTATAATTCTGTATAATTCAGTATATGTGACCTATACCCATCCCAACTTTTCCCTCTCTGGACACGTGAACCGACCGGGTGTGACCTCCTGACTCCTCTTCGAAGTCGTCTTCGAACTCCTTGTTTCAAGGCCGATCGCAACATCCAGGTGATTTCTACTGATGTGATAGATCCATATAATATCATATAAAATCATATCATGATCCAACAATAAAACACACCCAACTGAAGTTGGTGCGGTATTTGAACGTACTTCATCTATGTTTATAAGGTATTTGAATGTAATTATATGATTTATAGTATGTTTATGTACTGCATCTTATTACTTTGTGATTACCACATGGATGCAAACCATGCCCTTGTTGTATCCCAAGCACGACCATCATGCTTCGCCTGAAACTAGGTCGCTGCATCATCTGAATCCGACTTTTGGAATGCGGGTGTGTAAAAGTTCCATCTCAGGGATACTTGTTGAATTTTGTTGATACATATCTGCTGGCACACTTTTCAGAATTTCACTTTTTCACATCATGGTTAGTTGATTAGGTGTCCACTTTATTCACGTAGGTTCAGATTTTCACTTCTCCACATAGGGTTAGTTGGTTGGGTATCCACTTTATGATCTTGTTTCTGAAAGTCTGTAAGTTTGAATTTGATTTCGATACTGTGCTCATAAACAATTGCCATTCTTCAACAGCAAGGCAGGCTAGAATCTCACGCACAACTAGGGATCCGCAAGTGTGAGTTCCATCTTCCAGCGAGATCCTACATTTACAGGAGACATAGAAAAATGATGAAAAATGAAGAAACATAACCACCTTAAAAGAAGTCAAAGACAAAACAAACTTAAAAAGACACCGAATTTCTCTCATCCGCCCTTTTTTAAGAGGACCAGGACAATCTGGAATAACCTGTTAACTACCCTCTGGTGAACTAACATAGCAATGGAAAATCACCATTTTTAATGGGAAAATCCACTATAGATAGCCATTTTCAATAGCTATGTTAGTTCACCAGAGGGTAAATCAACATGACGGCTTCCCCCCGGTCCTCGTCGTCGTCCGGCAGCTCGGACTCTGGCACGAAGCCAGTGCCTCGACGTGCCTGGCCATGGGCCGGGAAGGGGCCCCAGTTTGTTAGCTAAGCTGGTGAACATAAGTATAATAACAACCGGTGTATGATGCTTATAACTAATGGTGGATGATAAGGTATAACATCTTATAACTATAGACTATAGTCAAATGAGGTTTATACAAATATAAACCACAGTAAATAACGTGCCAGGGTGCCCCTTCCTGTGGGGTTCTGAGGGGTTTGAACGGTTTGCCTATGACCAAGTCACCAGGTTAGCTGCTGGCACTTCAGCCAAGCCTAGCCTTGGCCTTGGGTTGCGCTGTTTCAGCCTTGCTGGCCTTGCAATGGGCCACGATGTGCAGATATGGACAGTACGTACAATGTAAATGAAGGCAAACCGCGCATAAGAATATACGCACATGCATGATCGTGTATATGATATATATATTAATATATACACATGTATGTGTGTCTATAGTCTCTCATTCTCTCGATGTGTGTCTATAGTCTCTCATTCTCTCCATATGTGTCTATTGTCTCTCATTCTCTCCATATGTGTCTATTGTCTCTCGTTCTCTCCATATGTGTCTATTGTCTCTCGTTCTCTCCATATGTATATATATATATAAGGTTTCGGCCTAAGGGATAGGGTTTCCCTTCGCCGTTCAAACCTTAGTGGGCTTTCCTCGACCACAGCCCACGGGTGACCGTTCGGTGCAATTGGCAGTGGACTTCGCACTCACCGTGCTTTTGCATCTGTTCTGCAGTCCGGGCTGCGTTAACAATCCCCGGGAGTCTGTCGGACTCAACTGGTTCGCCCTGGTCCCAGACTTTGACATCGCAGGCGCAGCCTGGCACTTTGAGGTTGACTTTGCCCTCTTTGTCCTCCTGCACTTTGCGAATCACTTTGCGGTCACCTTTCTACACCATTTCCTGGACTATATCATCAAGCTCGGGCTTCAATTGCTTGCTGTTTATGGTCTTGCGCTACGTGATTGTGATTTTCCTCACGCTGTACACCTTTGTGGGCAACGGCGAATCCTACCCGGCGACGCAGGGAGCGAAAGCTACGTGCTACTGCTCGCCTTCACTGGTATCTCTTTGTCAAGGGCCTCAAGCATCTGACAAAAGAGCAACTGTCAACAGTTCGAAGGAGGATATCCAGCCACCATTCGAGAGATCCCATCTTTCTACGCCGCATCTCAGGAGCAATGTGGAAAGCACAGAAGGATCCTTGGAGATGTTTGAATTGCTCCAAGCTCAATCGATACAACATCAATTGCTGCGGAGATTGTGGAGGGCATTGGCACGACTTCATGGATCACACCTTTGTCCCCCCAAGCCGACAGCAATTTCACAGGAATGCTCAGACGTCCACGACGAGAACCTCACAATGGGGTGCCTCGCAAAGCTCATATTGGGCGCAAGACGATTCATGGCAGAATCAAAGCTGGGACGATTGGGAAGCGACTTCGAACTCTTCGAGAAGTTCATCAGTTCGACAACGCGCACAACCATCACGTCCCAAACAGGCACCCAAGAATCAGAGAGGCAAACTGAAGGGAAAAGACAAGGGCAAGGGAAAGGGCAATGGACAGAAAGGCAAGGGAAAACCTGCCATAGAGCCTCCCCCCTGGTCTTCAAGCGCTCAACAGCCGCATGCCCCGACGTTGCCAACCTCAACGGCACCCACAAAAGCGGAAGCCAAGTTGCAGGAGATTCTGACGGTCCTCAAGAAGAAGGACGATCCAGAGCTTCAGACACTGGCCAAAGAAGCAGATGTTCTGAACAACAAGACAGCCACCAGCAAACTCCACAAAGCTGTGACCAGGCACGGAGATGCAAAGACTGCTGTTTTAGAAGCGAGACAAGCGAGATCCAATCTCCATGCATCATGGAGACAATACTTGGGCTCCGCCATCGAGACTTGGCGATCCTTCATCGAGGACTTCGACAAGGAGGACACCAGATTGGAGGAGGCCATCACGAAAGCCGATCAGGATCTGACCACGGCGCAAGAAGTCTTGGACGATGCCAAGAAAGCTGCCACGGAGGAGGAACTGAAGGATCAGATCGAAACGATCGAGGACGAGGACGAAGGCTTGGATCGCACGACCAAAACAAGTCAGGCAATGAGGGAAGGCCTGACCGGCATGCTGGATGGCTTGGAGCAACTCAGAGCCAGAACAGAAGATCCTGGGGAAGAAGCAGTCCCCAAGCGTCAAAAGGTTGCAGATGGCTTCAAACCTACTGCCTTGCAGCCTTTTGGTGGGGCCGGTCGTTAGGCCTTCAGGTTAACGACCAATGGCCAGGAGACAAGTGTGGCGCAATTTTGAAGTGGCACCACACCATCCTCTCTGAGCACAACTTCCTGAGTGAATGGCAAGCAGTTGATGATGCGGTTGATCTCTCACTCCAACTTGGGAGTTGGTCCAGGAGACAGCGCTCCTCACTTGTTCCGCTTCCATCCAGTCGGGAGAGACATCGAACAATTGATCTCACTTCACATCCTTCCTTTGATGAGAATGTTGAGATCGCCTTCTTCAATTCGAATGATGACCCGGACTTCTTCAAGTATCACTCCACAGCCATGTCTTTGACTGCACTTAGCTCTTGGAGGGCAAGTGAAGGTAAGCCTTGGAGCTCAAGAAGACGGCGACTGCCACGCTCTTGTGGAAGCACATTGTTTGAGCTCCCCAAAATGAGCCGGCATGACAAGTTTCTTGCCATCTCTGGCATTGTTGACTCTAGGTGCCCTGACCCTGGACCTCGACAACATCGACCAGATCAAGAACAAAATCCTGATCTTCCTGACCCCCCTGGGAGAAGAGAAGAAGAAAGACCTGGTCGACCACAAGAACGTCCACTACACCATTTTCCAAGTTGGGTTGAAAGTCTCTGGAACCTGCTCTTGCAACATGGAGCTACGGAAATGCTGGAGGAAGGACCCATTGTGTATCTGGACAGCTTCTACATTAGCCATCTTCACTGCCGCAAACAGGAAACAAACCGCTCTCTACGTTTAGATCAACATTATGAAGACTGGGCCACACAGATCATGGAAGTCTGGCACGATCACTTTGATCGCAACAGTGCTTTTGAGGTCTTCCTTGTTGATCCTGATCCTCCCGCTCCAATCACGAGAGGTACAGTTGGCACGGTTTTGATCTCACAACATCCTGATGGTCGTCAAGTTGCCGTCATGACCACAATCGCAAATGATGACATTCGGGGACCATGGATCAAAGAGATTGCGCACTCCTTCGAATGGATGACACCACATCGGCATGTTCTACATCAAGCTGGAGTCCTGGCGAATTGCCTTGAAATGCAACGTCAAGGACTTGGACGATGTGAAATTCGACTTGGTGATTTCACCTTCCCACATGAACGGCCTCTTCGTCTACATGACGGCCTTGGACTTGTCATTGACATTCCGATGATAGTCACAGATGAGATCTGGAGTTCAATGATCCTACCTCGACTTCAAGAGGCGACAAGGTCTGGACCGTCACAGACCAGTACTGTGACAGCCACAGAACAAGTCCCTGACCACACTTCATTCATGGCCAGACGACCACAGCCACGACAGACAAGAACCTCGACTGACTCGACCTCCAGCTCCTCTGCTTCAACTTCGAGGAGTGCTGAACCGTCATCACAAGATCCACAAGACTGGAGAAGAACAGCGATCTTCACCACAGATGGACAGGCACAATCAGCACTACTTCCTTGGCATGACAGCACTGAGTTATATGCCAGAGTTGCGACAGCTTTTGGAGTAACAAGAGGCGAGATCCTACAACTGTATCAGGTACTGGAACGACCACAAGATCTTGAGCAGATCCAGGTCCATTGTATGCTTCTTCAACGTCGGGAAGAACCTCAGCCAGTACACATTCTACAGTTTATCCTCCTGGACCTTGAAATCACGGAGGAGAACAACATCTTGCCGGGGATTTTCACCCGAAAGGCTGCATGGATGCCACATGTCATCACCAGGCAGTCCATCCTACGCATTCTCAACCTGGAGTCACTTCAGCAACAGCAACCTGAAAGATGTCGTATTTGGCACAATAACCAAATCATTGATCAGGACAGAAGCTCACCGTTGACTTTCGTTGACGGTGACTACCTCGCCATCTACATTGGGGATGAAGACAAGCAGTTCAGCTGCACTTCAAATGGTGATGTTGTTTCATTTCAACAGCATCCAATCCTCATGAAGATGAGAGTTTCAGAAGCACACCGAAAGTCACATACGGCACTGGATCTTTGCCCACGACCTCCTGGAAGAGTCATCCGCAGAAGGCGTCAAGCACAAGATCATGATGGGGATGATGATACAGAGCAACAAGCATGGAGAGATCTCTGGACAAGAACAACCAGACAAAGTCGAGGCATCAACAACGAACCAGTCATGCTCTTCGACACTTGGTATCTCAGTGCAATGAACTTTCCGAGATGCTCAATTTCCAGAACAGCTGCGCTCCCTGAGACAGTTCCGCTCTGGCCACAGCTACTATCCACGACTTGGCGAGATCGAGTACATCCCCATTGGCCGATACGAATAGTTCATGTATCACCAGATCCACCTCACACGAGACACGGAGGTCATCTCATTGTGCTCCAACATGCACATCCAGAAGAGGCAGCAGTCCTTCTCAGCAATTATAGGGGGGAGCTGCTTGACAGATTTGCTCAGTTAGTCAATCGGAGACTGACATTTGAGCGCCTCCTCTGGTTCAATGACCGTGAAATCTGGTGCATGAGACCTGATTTCTTTTGTGCTGGCAACCATGGACATCAAATGATCCCCACTACTGAAGTATGGGATGCCCAAGACGGTCAACATCTGGAGCTGAACGTGTATGAGCAAGCGGAGACTGATCTCACAATGATGATGCAGCGACACAACGCAGCGCCTTCAACTAGATCCCCTGCTCAAGCTGCTTCGTCAACTAGAAGCTCCAACAATGGTTGCCCGTCCTTTCACTTTGATGCGAATGCGTTGCCTTTCATTCCTGAACACAGCCCACTTTCGGCACAGTTGGAGATCATCCAGGACATACACCCTATTTGGGACACTGCCGCCACTGCGTGGGAAGATGAAGAGCGCTCTTGCGTCTTTGCAGTCTGGTTTGTGGATCACCGCTGGCAATGGCCACATGGACGTTTCTACAGACGCGCCAGACTTTTCGAAGACTTCACGCTTTGGTATGAAGTGCTGACCAACACCTGGCGGGAATACGTCCAACCTGGGGTCGTCATTGAGCCTTACCTCGTCCTGCCCAAGCCCATTGAGAGGGACCCCATGATTGCTGGTCACATTCTCCTT